GGAATCATTGGGGCTCCTCTTCCCTCCATTAAGGACATTTCATCACAGCGCTGTGTGTCCCGAGCCCGTAATATCATCAAAGACCCCTCACACCCCCACCATGGACTGTTCTCCCTGCTGCCCTCTGGAAAGAGGTTCCGCAGCATCCGCTGCAGATCCACCAGGTTGTGCAACAGCTTCTTCCCCACTGCCATCAGACTGTTGAACCTTTGATCCACAATCCGAACTCTGCACCTATTGCACATTATCGGGCATCAAATGCTGCTGAACTTTTAACTTTTAGCCCTTTAAATTGTTCATCTCATTGTATTTTTCAATAACGCATTTTTTGCACAAATGCCATTTTGCACTGAACCACTGCAACTTGCACACTGTCTCTTATCCTCTGCACTGTTCACACTTTGACCACTGCTGCACTTTTTGTATTTTTCTATAACTCGTGCCATTGTGAAATATCAATGCAACGTTCATAAGCTGTATGTAACGCAATTTCGTTCTGTATGCACCCTGTGCATACAAAATGACAAATAAAGAAGTCTAAGTCTAAGTCTAAGTCTAACCTCTTCAAAAAAGTGCAACAAATACTTATTCTGTTTACATCTACTGTACATACCTATAAGAAATATTTTTTTTTCTTCATTAACATAAAAAAAAAAACAAGTAGTAGTCAAGCCTGCAGGTAAAGGTTCATATATGTTTCTTACTGTCACCTAGCCACATCAGGGGCCTGTGTGTCTCAAAGTAGCAGGTTCATTTTTCCTACTAACCTGAGTATACAGCCACTCTGTGTTCCACAGCATACTTTGCACACTACATCGCTCAATATGTTAGTTTATCACTCAAATCATGTCAACGCTTTATCACTTGAACTTTATTAATACATATTATACATTTTAAATGTTTGAAACAGAAATATTAACTGAACAGGGTCTGAGGCAGTGGCCCTGGTAATTTGGGTAAAATAATATAAGAGAAGACATAGCAAGTAAAAAGCAAAATAACCTTTTTAAATATCTTAAACAAGTTTAACCATTGAACAGCAGAATAAGCTTAACATCAACACAATGTATATAATCCAAGAATAGTCCATATTTATAAACAGCAATAACATATACATATATAATTTCCCAATGGAAATTCTGATTATAATTTCTCTGTAAAATGACACTTCCTCTTCTTTGAAAGAGCCATCTGGTCATTCAGTCTTGTCTGTTTTCTTCCCTCTCCACCTTCACTTTTGTTTCTAGCCCTCTTCTGACTTCTGCCTGCTCTCTGCTTTACTCCTCAAAGTAAATTTTTCTCCCTTCTTGTCAACCGTTTTTTCTATCAGAGTTCCTAGTTTCCTCCTCTCTCATTCAATCTCCTTTCTGTCTTTCTATCTTCTTCCTCACTCCTCCAGCATCAATCTTACATTATTCTAAAACAGAGACATTATATAATCAAAATCACCTCCAAAAAAAATTGGGATGTGCAACATGAAAACTTATTATTATTAATATCTCATCTAAATACTAAAAATGCTAATTACCACAATATTAGGTGCTACAAGCAAAAACCACATAATAAATGAACATTAAACAGGTGGTTATCTCTTCCTCCATCATTCTCAGATCATGTAGATCTTGTCTTATTCAGTTCTCCTGTTACTGACTCCTATTTTTTCTCAAGGAACTTTCATATATATCCAAACTGAGCAGTAAAAAAGCACACCAAAAACTGGAAGTCTATGCTCATAAATCACAACCATAAATCATCAAAACAAATTGAAATAACTCTACTTATAATAACTATCTGAAATATAAACTAAAGGTCACCTATCCATTCTAAAACATCTTTATACAAACCAAGGGCGTAGGTTTGATTTTAACTTTGGTAGGGACACGATTGGTCGGGTGTCATTGGTGCTATGCAATATGCACGCCCTTTTTTATGCTCGATGTGAGCATCCGTACTGATAAGAGGAATTCAATGTTAAAAGAGAAAAGCATAATTTTGCTACATTAATAAAAATTAAATAAAAAAAACACTACACTCATTAGATGCTGTTTATCAATGTTTGAAGCATTAATTGATTATTTCAATAATCGTCAACTAATTTAATAATTGATTCATCATTAACTGGAGTATAAAGACTCTAAAACATAATATAAATGTAAAATGTGTCTTTTTCCAACAGAGCAACCCACTTAGATCAGTAATTATACCAAAATTGTAAAACTACAATACATATATATAATCAAAATTCTCCATCCAGAACTCCTCATGTGGAAATATTTTAGTTTCACCTGGTTTATTTAGACATCACCTGAAGCACTGAAGGGCCAGCTGCTTCACCTACAAGCTGCCCTGCACCATTATTACTGGATATCTGTGTTTCCTATAATCATATAATGTATAAGTGCATTTTTAATAGTAAAGGATTAAATGTAACACAACCTTTTATCATTGTCCTATATTGCTACTGTCTGACTGTATAAATAGCTCCTTATGTATATTTTCTTTTTAGTGGCATCATCTACAAACACAACACTGAGAATGAGCCTAAGTTTATTAAAATATAAAATCACTTTTAACAATTATAAAAGACAATATAACACTATCTTATCTGTAATTTAATAATATCCAAAATAAACAGTCAGATTCCAGCATTTTTACCAGACATTAATGTTTGTACTAATTTACTTATAGACTGTGTGGAAATCTATGTAAGATAAAATCAATGTTAATATTCTTCATCTGTTTGTTCTTCTCTTTATCCTATTTCTAGAAGTATAAATAGTCAATTAAATTATTATTATTATTTGGAACCCTAATTATGCTTTTTAAACGATAAACAGCAGATGTTTAGCCGCCATTTCTTGTTGTTTTCCTCTATAAGAGAAATAACACCTGCTAATAATTATACCTGAACTTCCTCAGAGTCATCAAAAAATGAAACCAGTAACAGCAACTAAATATTGGTAAAAAGGAAACCCTCACATTTTCTTTTTTAGGTGGCTGTGGCTAAGAATCAGAAATGTTGATGGCTTACAGCCTTTATTTGCCCATTTTGTGTCTTCAGAACTCCTGGCTGACTCAGAATATTTCGTTTTATAAAAGAAAAAAAAAGGTTTTTGTTTTTTAGTGTACATGATATTCATTTTTTTATTGGGACTAGTTTCATAGTCTAATATTAATTGTAGTAACCGCTGCATTCTAGTGTGAATAAATTTTCAATGTTGTGCTCCAAGCACAGCGGACTAGAAAACAGCCAATCAGAAAGAGAGAAGGCGGGACCTAAGGCAGAACAGCCAATGAGAGTGGAGTTAAACAGCGCAGCACAGTTCAATGCGCTGCTAGGTGAAAGGGACAGGAGAGACCAGGCAGAGGAGCTGCGAGAGGAAAAGAGCCACTGCTGTAAATTATAAACATGTTGCTCACATCCAATTATTGGTCGGGACAATTAGGACGGTTCAAAACTTTGGTAGGGACATGTCCCTATGGTCCCTATGCAAACCTACGCCCATGATACAAACCCTTGTTGATCCCTGGAGAACCAGCGTACCAGATTAGCGCCTTACAAGGAGTTTTCAATCATTTTGCTACATTTTAACCCAGCGTCTTTTACTCATGCTCAACTCGTGGTCTTGTCTTACTTTTTATTATTGTTTTAACCTGGACACAAACCAAACATTTATCACAAGATCAGCCCGATCAGAATAAAATAAATTGATTAACACACTTACCATCACTCAGCGTAGCTCCCCATCAGTTGCCACAGGTTGTAAAAAACGAACTTCCACTTCTTCTTCTTCTGTTTTAAAAGTGATGCGCTCTTCTTCTTTTTTGTGTTTTAATGGCAGCTAACATCCAAAAGGATAATTTACCGCCCTTCTAGTGGTGCGCTCTGTTCCTTATCTTTATGTTATCAGCAGCGCAACCAGCTACCGTAATACCTATTTTTGCGCGCAACAGCTCTACCGTAATAACAGTCTACACGCAACATTTTTCGCCTCGGTAAAATCGGGGACATTTCCGGGGACAGCTTTAGCCGGGGACAGGTGGTCCAAAACGGGGACAGTCCCCGGAAATCGGGGACGTCTGGTCACCCTAGCTTACAGCCTTTTTGACATAAATTCGGGTTCGTCTGACCATCCATAATTTCGTTCCAGATATCTTAAAATACATTTTGACTACACAAAACCACATTTTGACTATCCGGAATGGTAATTTAAGATATCTGTCTTTACATTCTGATTAGGAAGAATAATAATTCAAGATATCTTAAATTACATTTTGCCTAGTCAAAATTCCTTTCAAGATATCTTAAATTACGACACCAGATTTGTCATTTAAAGCGTCACATGCAGATTTAACTTTTCCTCCTTTGGATTAAACTGACAGTAAGGGATTTTTTACGAATGATCCTCCTGGAAGCTCATTAAAAAGATCATTACACATTTTGACTAGTCAGAATGTCAATTTAAGATATCTGTAATGGAAAAGCTGAATAATTCAAGACATCTTTAATTAATTTAGAGTTATCTTAAAAAGAATTTCGAATAGACGAAATTACAATTCAAGATATCTTTAAATTAGTTTTGTCTAGTCATTATTTGCTTTTAAGATATCTCTAATTGAGTTGTCACTAGTCAAAACTGCATATCTCCTATCCTAAAATACATTTAAGATATCATGAATTATGGTGGCATTTGAGATACCTTTAATTAAAATTATGAACAGTCAAAACTAAAATCGAGATATCTTGAAATTACTTTATGGCTAGTCGTAATTTAATCGTAGATATCTGAAATGTGTATTTCAGATAGTCAGTAATTCATTCTAGATATCTTAAATTGACGTCTCCATACAACCATAAAACGTCTAGTCATAAAACAATTTGAGATATCTTGAATGTAAAGGAGGTACAACCGTATTTATGGTAAAACGGCTTACCATACTTTTTTAATGAATGAACGAATGAAACGTGTATAGCGAGTATGGCAAGCCGTTTGAACATTAATAAAGAAGCTAACCAGGTGACATAAAAACCTTGCAAGTCTACTTGACTAAAATGTCCGAATTCGTTGACAACAAAGGTTAGGATTCACAAAACTACGAATGTAAACATAACAGGACTCAGAAACCTTTGTTATTTTTGTTATTAGAAGGTGAAAATCAAAATATTAAATACTACCTTTTGTCTCAATTATAGCTTAGCAAACTAGCTGGCTAATTGTGTTAGCTTAAAAATCAACAAGTTTAAAAATCAACAAGTTTCTAATATGTATTTGGGGTAGACTTCAGACTAAGTGTGTAATTTTTAGGTTTAAAAGTTTTTCTGTCTGTCTACCTATCTATCTACCGAGACAGTGTTCATTGATTAAATTTAAATTGCTAATGTAATTTAACTGAGTTGAAGCTTTAGGTGAATTTTTTGTGCGTTCCTGCGAGTTACCAAAAGATAAACTGGCAATTGGTGAGGTTTCTTGCAAAAGCACAACTCAAATAATTTAAAATATTTATTAAGGACTCAAAGTTTGGGCCAGTTTTTAGGGAAAAGAAACATTGCAATGACAGTTAAGCATACTTACGCTTAGAAATAGACAAACTTTATTTTCATGAAAAAAGAAATTTCCTTTTGTACAGCTCTGGTGACATTTTAGTTTCTTAAAGTGCAGCAGTGATCAAATGTAAACGTGGGAGAAAAAACACATGGTGCGAAAAAATCCCATTGATATGGTCAGTTTGATGCAGAGTTTGTAACATGGTTTAGAGTTTTTTTTTTTACATTCAGCTGTCTGATGGTGGTGGGAAGAAGTTGTTTTGGAATCTGCTGCACCTACATTGTATATCAGTTTGGTATACGAACATCAAAATCAAATTCTTGAGATGTTTATTAGATTAGATGTGTATTAGACTGAATGACTGGAACTAGGCTACTTTGTCATGAAAAGAGGCGTTTTACACATTTGACTGCATCCTACATAAATATAAATGAAAAAACATGAGATGTTGATCTATTAGAAAAAGTTCTATTGATTAATTGTTTTATGCATTTGTATTATATCTGTTAAGTCTTTCAGGAGGCAGTGAAGGATGTCAGTCAGCAGAATTACACCAAGATACAAACCCTGAAAGAGAAACAGCTGGTAATAAAATCAGTGCAGGTAAATTATTTACTTCACATATTTAAAAAATATGTCCTCGTATTTTTATGAAATAGAACTTCACTATTTCTCAAGGATGCCAATAATGATATTTAGTAAAGATCTGAATGTTTTGGATTGATCAGGTGCATTTCTGTTAAAGGAAACTCTGGCAGATGTTAAGAAGAAATGTCAGCATGCAAAGCAGGAGGTAAAGTCTAAATCAAGAGAAATCCAGCTGCTGGAAGGCCAGATGGACCATTTGGAGAGGCAACAGAAGGTCCTACATGATCGCTGTGCTTCCATTAACAAGGGAAACATAGAGCTGCAGATGTATATACAAGAGGAGGTGGAGGATGACCAATTAACACTTGGAAAATTCAGCATGTACAGGGAAAAGATGAAAGGTCACAGAAACGTCGTCTTGCAGGCTGCGTGCCAGACGGAGACCCACAGAGAACTCGAGGAGAAAAAAATGCTGGTCTGGAAACTGAAGCAGGAGAAAGAGCAGTTAAGGGAGGATTTGGAAAACCCAAACGGGAATGTGCTGCAGACTGCTAAGGTTTGAAAATACTAAGAATAACAATTCGACTGGGTTGGGTCTTGATCTTTTAAATGTTCTTATGTGCAGGGGGAAACTGATTCCCTGAAGAGGGAGATCTCTGAAAGAAGTTTGGCTGTTGCTGCAATGACTCACCAACTGAAGAAAGAGCTTGAGACTAATGTCAAGTTAAAGAAAGACATAGAGGTATCGAAAAGTAATTAAATATTTCCCTAGATCTGCCATGTGTCCCACACACACGTATTGGTAGTAACAACATGACATTTACATTTTGTTTCTATTTCCAAATAATGCTAACCCTGTATGTCATTATAGGTTTAGACTGCTAGAGGATAGGGACCACTTTACATCATTATTCTTCATTCTATCTCTATCCTTCAATTGTGGAGTATTTGTTTGTTAACCACCAAACTTTATGTTCTCTCTGCCATTTTCCTCTTAGTAGCTTCGTCTGTTTTTTTCCTGTTAGGGAGTGACAACATCTAGGCGTAGAAGTATCTTCTTTCCAACGGGTATGCAGAAATATTATAGGTGTGAGTGTGTGTTTGCATGGTTGTATGTCGCTCTGACAGACTGGCAACCTGTCCGTGGTTTATCCTACTTTTTCCCCCATAAACTGCTGGAGATAGGCACCAGCCCCTCCGGGACCCTGATAGATAAGCAGAAGATGGGTGAAAGGATGTTATCTTTGTTGGACATCAGTTACAAACGGTATGCTGCATCTAATCATAGTTATCAGAGACACCACAGCCACACCTTAGTGTTATAGCTGAGTGACAACAGTTAAATCCTGAATCCTAAGTTCAGTGATTCAACTGTTTTACTTTTTGATTAATCATAAATCACTGTACAAATAAAATAACCCAACAGAAGTCCCTTAATTTTTCATGTCATAATCTGTTGCAAAATACAGATCCCTACTGGAGACCTGGAACAAAGCAACACTTTTTTTCATTATGTCAATCTTTTTCTTCTTGTCATCATATGGCATGAGTTCCAACAGCCCAATTCATTGCCCACTTCCCTTGCATTTACATAGAAACGCATTCTAGAGTGTGTGCATGGGAAGGGGAAGATAGGGGGAGAGTTGAAGGAGCGAAAGGCACATATTCAATGATGTGCCTCTGTTATTGACCATGTCATGTAGAAAAACAGCTGTAAGGTGCTGAAATGGCTGACTAGGGATGAATGTCCGACCAATACCTTTGCTCCCCATCTAGGGCCGTTCCCCTATGTACCCCTATGTTTGAGTTTTCGTCAACGAGACAAGACTAAATAAAAATTGGCAGGTAGTCAGTCAGGCGTTTAAACTGCATTATTGTGCTGTAATCAGCTATGTGCAGCTATGTCCTGTTTGATCCTGCTGCACACTGTTGCACATGCTGCAGGAGCACAGATGGATCATGGCAGCAGCGGCGGCAGGGTCTGAGAAAATAACCCGGTTCAACTCTGCTCTGATCTTCCATCTGTACTTGTGCAGAAATGTGTCTTTGTGCGTGAAGCTCCGTGTCTGTGCTTCACACACCACTCTAATGGTTCGCTCTCAGCAGTATGACTCATCGCTACTTAATAAACTATGTGGCTGATCATCCTCTACCAAGCGTAAAAAAACCCTATTGTCTAACTATCAAGATTTGATTTTATCCGGCTCAGAAGACGAGTTACTATACATCCATCCAATTTCTGTCATGCTTAGTGAGGTCATGAGGGGTCTCCAACCCTCAAGATGTCTATGGGTGAGAGGCAGCAGTCCATTTAGGACAACACAGGGACAAACAACCATTCACACACACACTCTTTTAGAGAAGCCAATTAACCTAACAATCATGTTTTTGGACTGTGGAGAACCCACACATGCTATGGGAGAACATGCAAACTCCATTCAGAAAGACCCGGGCTGGGAATCAAACCCAGAACCTTGTTGCTTCAAGGCAGCAGTGTTATCCACAGCGCCACTGAGTAGCTCGTGAGGATACTAAACATTCTTTAATTTCTACCTGAAGGAATCCCTAAGTTATATCCAAATACAATATTTCTTTGAATTCTGTTTATTTCTGGATAAAGAGCCCAATGAAAACGTAAATAGATCTTTGAATATTTCTCACTCATTGTTCTCGTTTCTATCTGTTTAAATATGATGTAAATGTTTCCTTGTATTGCTATTGAAGCATTTTTTCTGTTGCATTTAAATATTTCAACATCTTAGTTACCATATTCATTCAGTTTAGGTCTGGATTGCCATGGCATTACAAGGAAATTATGTAGGTTCAAAACCCTGTCAATTTAAAATCTATTTTTGACCCCTGAGCAGTAATAACCGAGGGGTAAATTATCAGAAATAAAGCCAAAATTTCCAAAGTAGAAAGAATAATGCTTTTGTTATTTGGTTTTTTAAGGAGCAATGAAGATTTTATTGATCTGTGGAATGCCTAATTGATAGTAGATCAGGATCTTGTGTCTAAAACCATTCCTTTATTGTACTGTCTGTCTGCTATACTAACCAGTGTGATGTGTTGAACTAGATCTGCTATTTTCACAACTTTTGTGAGACACTTCAATAAAAAACACACTTATTTTAAGAAAAAAAATCCCTCTTTTAGAGTTTTTGTAGTGTAGGCTCGGCTTTTACTGTCACAAACAGGAAACTTGCTCAGAGCTCACCTGCTTAGCTCATTCTTTTCTGGACTGAGCGATTGTAGATCTATATTACTATTACCTTTTCTAATATAGAAAGTATTTGTTGATCCATGCTTCCATGTTGCTTTGTCTTCTCAAACCCCCAGTCAGCCTCTGTAGAAGTTAACCCACACTGAACCTAGCTCCCTGGAGGTTTCTTTTTATCAAAAGGGAGGTTTTCCCTCTCCGCTGTAGAATTAACATCACAATGTAACAAGCTAGTTTTCCTCAGATAGAAAACATTTGAGGGGACGTGTTTTGGGAATTGGCGCAATATAAATAAACTGAATTGAATTAAATTATTTTTGTCAAAAAGAAAATTCTTTTTTTTCTCTCCATCAGATCCAAAACAGGCGCCATGAAGCCATTGTGAAGCGTCTCCGCTGTCAACTCAGTAGAACTCAGGCTGTTCACAGGTAAAACAAACCCAAATCGATCTATTCTTATTCATCTAGGTGAATTCCCACTGCTTTCAATAACATGCTATGAATTTGCCTCTTTTCACAGGCAAACACTGGATGAGATCCTCCAACTGCAGCAGCAGCTAGCTGAGCTCAAGGGCCAGCAGCATTCCTCTGAGGATTGGTGATGGCTTAAATGTTGAATTATGCTTGTCCAGTCTGTTATTTTTATGTTAAAGAATAAGTTGACTTACTGTTTACATATAGGTTTGGTTTTATCTCAGTTGATGAACAGCAGGGGGCAGCACCCTCCAGTTAATACCTAGCTTGCTCTTTTTTTTTTAATCTTTTTGACTGACATGTTTTTTAGGATATATTAATGACTTCAATAAAATTTAGCTAAATACAACCCGAAATGTTAAATTATTTCATTAGCTTTGTCAACATGGTTCAACAAAGAACTTATTAGGTAAACATTTTTTCATTTTCAATGTGGATTAGTTGAGATGTGCAGAGTGCTGGATTAACTGATCTCAGTTTAAGTGATGACAGAAAATCTGTTCATACTGAACGGAGTTTGATGCACAGCAGAAGGCATGTGTCTACCGTGACTGACGAGACATTGAAGAGGTTTGTTTTGGAACACGATGTTTCAGCTTCTGCCTTACTGGGTGGCTTGATGAGTGCGAAGTGACAGCTCTACTGTCCCTCCAACCCAATAAGAACAAAGAGACTGTTGAAACCAATTACTGTGCTTGTTCATTGTTAATTCAACTACTTCTTGACATTTTCAAGGAATGAGTTCACAGTGTTTTGGATTCAATAGGCTAGTCTGGAAAAAAGTTAAGTAAATATTGAATCAAACATGAACAGAAACCTTAAAAAATATATTTGAAACACATTTTCTGGTCTGGAATCCTTCTTGTTGGACATAGTAATAAGTTTGGACTTACATCAACCCAGCAACATGTCTTTCAATATTCGCCAAACTTCTGTTTCAAAAATAAAATGCTATAAAAACTAATTTATTCCATCAGCCTTTGATTGAACAAGCATGAGATGACTGGACAATGAACTACAGAAAGCTAAAACTGAATTAAATGATTACAAATCTGCTAGGATTATATAGCATTAGATTTATAAATGGTCCAAATAGAAAACATATTATATATATACATATATATTTAAACGGTGCTTATTTTCAGCATTGATTTACTTAAAGATACATTTGTTAATTTAATTTAAGATTTATTGATGTATTTCAATACTTATATAAATATATTGTTACCTACAGTCTAATTTTTACATATACGAGCCATTCAGGAATAATTTAATCACCATTAGCAGAACTTTAGGGTTTTACACTTGAGTCAAAATGAACTAACTGTTAAAAATGTCATATGTAATGAGAAGCAGAAGCTTTATTGGATGGAAATTTCATTATTTAACTCAGTGAACGTGCCTCTAATTCTACATTATCTCTAAGTATTTGTCAGACAATATTAGACATTTCAATTTATATAACATTTTGGTTTGGGCCAAAATAGAATGTGCTCAGAAATTAAGAACCATTTATGTAAAAAAAAAAAAAAAAAAAAAAAAAAAAGGTGCAGTGTAAAAACTTAGACAAACATCATGTGACATCAGCCATCTGCTACTACAGAAATATGCAGTGCATGTGTTTGCTCTGATGGGTTTTACCACTGTAAATGATGTCAATGATTCTCCCTGGAACTCCTGTTACGAAATTTTCTTGGGTTTTGTTCTTAAGAGAAATCCAAACAATGCTGGTAACTTTCCTCCTAGAAAGGAATGGGTGTGGAAAGGAATAAACCAACCTTTCTTTGCGACTTCATATTATCTTGCATTTCCAGGAACCCGTGTTGTAATACAGTGGTAACAGAGGTTTCAGGAAGAGAGTCTTTGGCTTACTTTTGAAGCCATAAAACGATATAGCAACTTCTAAAAACGAAGTGAACAAAATGGTAAGACGGAAGAGGTGGCCTAGTGGTTAGAGCACGGCAGTTGTGCTCTGAGGTTGGAAGGACCCGTTTCAATCCACACAGCCTTCACTCTGGGTCCTTGAGCAAGACCCTTAACCCATGATTGCTCTCCAGGCACTGCACAGTGGCAGCCCACTGCTCCTCAAGGGGATGGGTTAAGATGCAGAATTTAATATCTCCATTGTGAGATCAATTATGTTCAATTACTATTATTTTGTCTCAACCTACAAAACAATGGCAAAAGACTAAAACAGTGAGAAGTGGATACCAGGTTTGCCTGGATGGCTCTAGTCTCAGGCTCCATAATAATAATGTAAGCCTCCTATGATTAATAATGGACGCTACTGTTGTGCCATGTGTTACAACCCCCTGTTGGTCTAGGGGAGTGGGGGCATAAACATATAGGCAGAAACAGGTAAGTTCTTATAAAATTATAATATATTTGATAACAAGAGGTCCAAGCAATAAACAAACAAAAGGATGAGGGTGATGTGTAAAAAAAATAAATAAAAGAGATCCTCAAAAGGAGGATCGTGCCTAACAGGGTGTTTAAGGTGGACGACAAGAGTTCCAGTGGTGCAGAGGAGTTTGTCTTACCTGAATCTGTAAGGTGTAGGGTTGAGATTGAGAAGGAAGTCAGACAGACCCTCCTCAACCAACCTTCTCAAAATGATTGTCCCAATGATTGTTTGTTTGTTCCAGATGTTCTGAGAGGAAAGGTCTTGGAATTCTGTTCTCGTCTATTTTGTCATCCTGGTGTTATTAAGACCATCAACATTGTTCAGACTAAGTTTTGGTGGCCTTCTCTGTCTGCAGATGTATGGGAGTTTGTGGCAGCTTGTGCCCTTTGCAATCATTCCAAGACATCTAATAGACCTCCAGCTTGTTTTCTCCGTTCGCTAGCTATTCCCCTTGTCCTTGATCCAAACTAGCCGCGGACTTCATTACCGGGTCACCTTGCTTTGAATCTAATACTGTCATTCTCACCATCATTGAAGGGCTCTCTAACATGGTCCATTTGGTTCTACTTTAATTGCTTTAACTCATCCCGGTTGCTCATTAATGCTTATTTAATCCACCTGTTTCAAGCTCCTATTTATGCTGCCAGTTTTCCAGCCCCCAGTGCAAGATTATAAGAGTTTAGGGTGAGAAGTATCTGGCGTATCTGTATTGTTGTTTGACTACGTGATCCTGACTTGTTTTGCCCCTGCGGTTTTGGTCTGCCCCTATTTCGCTCTGTTTCTCCCTGTTTGTACTCTGCCTGTTAATGGCCTTGTATCTGTCCCCTGACCATGGCTTGGATTATCCCCTTGGTACCTCTGCATCTCTTTGATCTTCTGGTCTGGACCCGTTACCTGCTCTGGATTCTGCCTCTGGATCATCCTGCTCTTCAGTGTCTACTAGCTGGTTTGCTCCACTCCTGGAACTCACTGGGTGGCTCCCACTGCATATTGTGGGGATGTCACCGGTCTGGCTCCCACTAATTCCTCTGGACACGGACTGCACATATTTCCAGGTTAGTGATTCACTCGCTTGTTATAGTTCCCCGTCTGAGCCTAGAGAGTGTCCGTCTCTACAGAGAATCCAACAAGCCGGTCCCAGTCAACGCCTTGTAACTACGCTGAGCTTTCATTCAAGCGCTTTTCCCTTGAACTGACCTGCTTTTTCTGCCTGAATTCCGGGTCCAATTGTCTGAGCCCTGACATCCTCTCTTGAATGTGGTGCATTCACCCTTTCCCATGTGCAGAAAAACAACCCCAAAGCATGATGCAAAAACAAAAGCCTCTAGTCGCTTCCTGCAGCTTTTTATTCCTAGATCCTGGATGAAGGGATTTTTGACGCTTCTTCTTTGCAAAACAATTCCAGGTTAAGTTTGATGGTCGCCGAACATGGACAGCCTGCTTCAAATCATCCCACCAATGTTCAATGATATTCAGTTCTTGGGATTTGGATGACCATTCCAGAACATTGTAATTGTTCCTCTGCACAAATACCTGAGTAGATTTGGAGAGGTGTTTTGGGTCATTGACTTGCTGAAATATCCATCCCCAGCGTAACTTCAACTGCATAACTGATTCTTCTACATTATTCTCAATCTGCTGATATTGAGTGGAATCCATGCGACCCTCAACTTTAACAAGATTCCCAGGGCCAGCATTGGCAACACAGTCCCAAAGCATGATGGAACCACCATCAATTTTACATTGGATAGCAAGTGTTTTTCTTGGAACGCAGTGTTTTTTTGCCTGCCAAGGACAATGATGGTGAACTTCATCTCCTCCATCACCATCTAGAACACTGATGCCATCGCCAAGGACAAGGGCAGACTGCATCGTGTCATCTTGTCTGCAGAGAAGGTGATTGGCTGCAACCAGGGGTGTAGTCTATGTGATACGCGGGTATATGCCGTATACCCACTAGAAAAGCTTGTGAATTTCCGTATAACCACTTAAAAGGGCCCAATAATGCTCTGTTCACACCGGACACAGCAGGCGCAGCGAGTTTACATGCAAAGTCAACGGTTGATGCGAGTGACGCGCCGCAAACGCGCTGCCGGTCGAGATGGAAAAATTGAACTTTTGCTGCTGGACCCGCCGCATCAACCAATCAGAGAAGCTGATCTGGGAGCTGGCAGGGTGACAGACAGATCGCTGATGACACAGAGCGCTATGATCACTCATCTAAAACAGTTTATTAACTGAAAATGCTGAAATCTGCCGACAAAGCGTGTTTGCTTTTATTATCCTGGTGCCTGCAGTCTGGATTACGTTCATGAAAACCGCTTCCAGCCGGCGCGTTGAACCGCGAGTTGGCGACCGGGCCAGAGGCTGCTGTTGAATGTGATTCCTACTGACAGCGCACCGCTGGTATATGGGGGTCTGAGCTAGCCTTGTGAGACCATCCTGATCTCGCCAGGAAGTATGTGACAACATGGTTAAGAAACCACCGCTTTGCAACAGAAACAAGAAGACAAGTGAAACATAAGGAGCCTCAAAACAAACATGTCTGGAACATTTTATAGACACAGTTTTAACCTGCATAGTACTTCTGTACTTACATGTAGTACTTAATACTTAAGCATGTTTTGTTGTACTGTTTTAGAGATTCTACGTCTTTTCAATACAAAGCCAACTGTAGTACAGTTTGTTGTTCATTGATTCAAATGTAAGCAACAGAGAAATTAAGCAATGTTAAATATGCTTAAAAAAAAAAAAGGTCAATTACATTGTACTTACTGGCGTGCTTATTTCTAAGCACAGTATACCCACTACAATAATGTGGACTACATCACTGGTTGCAACTCTTCCATCTCTCCAGGATCTGCACGCCTCCAGGACTTGGAGGTGTGCAGGAAAGATTGTGGATGATCCCTTGCACCCCAGCCACTATTTCAGTCACTTCCTTCTGGCACGAGGCTGCGGTCCATCAGGACCTCACACCACAAGAACAGTTTCTTCCTATCTGCTACTAGCCTTATCAACAAGGCCCAGAGACTCCTCTGACACTGTCACTGCCTATCCCTCTCCCCTGTTCATTGATGTAGAAGCTAAACCAACGTAGCATCTCCAGACCATAAATTTAATGCACGGTCTACTGTATATATAGTATATTGTTGGTTTAAATTGTATAAACCTAAAGATTCTGTATATAATTTGTCTTCAACATCAATACCAAGTCAGATTCCTTGTAAGTGCAAACCTACTTTATTCTGATTTAAAGTAAATGTTTATTTTAGTAATGCAAATGCTAATCTTTCTGTATTTTATCTCATAGTTTTCATGGAAAAGAACATGTTGATCCACATTTGATCTAATTAAACATGCCTGATTGAGACGTTAAACAATGTGTCCTGTCTAAAACTGAAAAATTGTCAGAAACTGTTTGAAGCTGCTATTTAAATTAAAATATGAACCATTTAAAAATATATATTCCTTATTGTAAATAAATGGTAAGTTGTGAGGTAAAGTACAGGCAG